GGGGATTGGTCTGTTTGTGGCCCCTGCTGGGAGGGGCCATGCCTTGAAATTGACCAGAAACAAACAAACAGAAAAAACACATTGCCATTGAGTTGATACAGACTCATAGCGACCCTATAGGACAGAGTAGAACTCTACCCCATAGGGTTTCCAAGGAGTGGCTAGTGGATTCAAACTGCCAGTCTTTTGGTTAGCAGCTGTGGCTCTTAACCACTGTGCCACCAAGTTGTGTATATATGCAGCCGACCCTACATAGGTTTTTCAGACAGAAAGAAGCAGAAGGAGGAAAGAAGAAAGAGAGAGAAGCAGAGAGAGGAGGCAAGGAACCTCCTAAAAGAGCTGTAATGTGGGTCAAGGGCTGCAATATTGAAAACAGCAAGAGTCCCAGAAGGGTCTCAGTGGCAGAGCTGGCAGCAACAGGCCTGGAAGGGGCCCTGTGCAGAGTCAGTGATTGACTTGGAGACTCTGGGAAATGAAAAGGAATTACAATGTGGGCTAGGCCCAGAGACAGAAAGGGTCACATAAACCAGAGACTTCATCAGCCTGAGACCAGAAGAACTAGATGATGCCCGGCTACCACCAGTGACCACCCTGACAGGAAACACAACAGAGAGTCCCTGATGGAGCAGGAGAAAAGTGGGGTGCAGAATTCAAATTCTAGTAAAAAGACCAGCCTTAATGGTTTGACTGAGACTGGAGGAACCCCAGAAAGCATGGCCTCCGGACTCTGTCAACCTAGAACTAAAACCATTCCCGAGGCCAACTCTTCAAAGATTAGACTGGACTACGGGACGTAAAATGATACTCGTGACGAGTGTGCTTCTTAGCTCAAGTAGATACATGAGATTAAATGGGCAGCTCCTGTCCAGAGGTGAGATGAGAAGGCAGAGAGGGTCAGGAGATGGTGGAATGGACACTAGAAAACAAGGGTGGAAAGGAGGAGTGTGCTGTCACAGTACAGGGAGAGCAATTAGGGTCACATAACAATGTATGTATTAATTTTTGTATGAGAGACTGTTTGAATTGTAAACTTTCACTTAAGGACAACAATAAAATAAATTAAAAATGTGGGCTGGGTTTATAGGGAATAAAAGCATTAGTATCAAAGAAAGAAAAGAAACTTGGAATAAATACTCAGAAAGTTCTGAAAGTTTTTCTTCAAGAAGAAATTTCTGTTAGTCTATAAATTTGACTTGGGCCCATAATATGTAAGGAGATTAGGGTTTGTGGCTAAGGAAAAGGCTATCTTTTAAGTTAAATAAAAATAGGACATAGTGCAAAGGAAAATGATGGGCTCTAGTCACAATTTTGAGGCTAAAACATAAAATCAGAAATACGCCTTTTTTATATACTTTGAAATTGTGTATTCGAACGTGAGGTTTGAAAAGTGTGGGTTATTTTGATTCCCAGTACACTTGGGGCAATAAGATAAATCATGTTTCTGTGTGTGTAAGGAGCAGTTTGAGGCTTGTCCAAATGACACTGGTTTAAAACAGAAATGTAAGACAAGTAGGTCAGATCAGTTAAGAAAAAAAGAAGAGAGTAGATCTTAAATTTAAAACAAAAGGAGGTCAATTAAAATGTGCTTGACTTATTTGACTGTTTACAAAACTTTCTAGACCATCAAGCATTTAAGGCAGTAGAGTTGATTTTATGCATAACCTCACGGGTCCGTGATTCGGGAGAAGATGTAGCACAAGAAGAAAATTCATATTTTCAGTCTACCTTGTGGTGATTGGCAGATTTTAAGCTAATTAGAATAATGGTCAATGAATAATAAAACCAACTGACTTTTTCCTGTGTTGCTTGAAAGCTATGTTTCAAGTTTAAACAAAAATGAGGACTTTTTTTTTTAATTAGATGAGTTTTCGTTTTGAGGAACCAGCATAGGTTTGGACTCAGACAATGGAATAGATAAATGCTGAGCCCTTTAGGGGGTCGACAACTTCCCATATTGTATGGCTTTAGAGGCATCTGGGTGACCTCACTTTGCTGATGCTCCCCCACAGGCTGATACACAGAGTTCTTCTTTTGGTTTACGAATTTACCTCTTTTAAACATTTAAATACCTCTGGGAAGGAAAACATTTTCCATTAACCTTCAAAGGGAAGATGGCAAGTATGTGACCTTCATGCTTTCCCTTCCTGGCAGCCACACTTAATCAACCTTGGATTTCCTTTTCAGTGGGCCCAGTTTCTAGAACTCTCTTTAGCATAGCTGTCCACAAAACTTTGAATCGATTAGACTTGACTTGCAAATCGAAACCTTCTTGACGCTCCTGACTTATATCTTATGTGAATGAGTTTATTAAATCCTTGAATGAGAACAAGGTGAAGGGTGAGAAAGGAAAGAAAGTATAAGGTTTTTGGACTTGAGGGGAAGACTACAAAGTTGCCACCAAGGGATGGTATATAAAACTTGTCTATCACATTTTACAGAGTTAGAAGTACCATATATTGAATATCTACTATGTGCCACATACCATTCTTAGCACTTTGTGTTCCGTATGCCATTTTTTCCTTTGAGGCAGCATCAGGGCTGTGTGTGTGTGTGTGTGTGTGTGTGTGTGTGTGTGAGAGAGAGAGAGAGAGATAGAGAGAGAGATAAAGAGAGAGAAATCTCAATTTTCAGTCAAGGAAACTGTGCCTTCATGATTATTAATGACTTGTTCAAGGCATAAGAGCTAGGAAGCACACAGCTATTAGACAGATCTAACTGAAGAGTTCACACCTTTCTAGTATACTCTGTAATTTTATACTGTTTCTAGAATTATGTGGAATTAGGTCAGGATATATGGCATAAGAGTCTTCTCAAGGCAGCCTGCATATTCAGAGCCATGCTCCTTAGGAACACAGTTCAACACTGATTTAAGTGGACTAAAAATTGAAACTTCTATTTGTTTAACTTTTGTTATTTCCACCTAATGAGCAGTAATGCAGTCCTTGGAGATGATTTAAATCAAGATATTTTTCCCACGTGTGAATTGTATTTAAATTTCCCTTATGAGTTTTCTTCTGAGATGTTCGGCTATTCATATTCACATTTAAATTTTCTAATTTCATTGCACACATTCATCTGATAAAACTAAATAAAATGCTTTGAAGGGAGCTAGTTTATATTGAATCCTCAAATTAAATAAAGAAATCACGTTATTGACAGTGGCACAATTGTTGGTTTTTAGTGAGTATTTGACTTTAATTTAGTAGTCTTAGAAATACTACTTTTAAAGTTATTGATTGTGGCAAGAGTTTTACCAGACTAAATTGATTATACATGAATCACTGGGTATACATCTAATAATTATGGGACCATTCTTCTCAATTTATTTTCAATTTCATTTGACCGTTTAATGGATTGTTTCAACTTTCATTTAAAATCAGGAATAACAAATCTATTTTTATGGTGATTTTTCTATGATGTCATGCTATTGCTTAAGGAAAGTCAATTAATAAGTATTGAGGGCCTACTATATGTACAACATTGTGTGTGTTAGAATACTAGTTATAATACTGAAAAAATAAAACCAATGGTTTCTTATTGTTGAAAAATCCTTCCATGTCATCTAGACCATCCTGTAGTGCATTCCACAGTCTCCTCTGACATGTCTTTGATGTGATCTGCCACAGTACAAATGTGTCTTCTAAAGCTCTTCCTAGTAAAAACATTTCTATACCACTTACTAGGTCCCAGGCCTCCTTCTACATACTTTATATTAATTCATTTAATCCTCACTACAACCCTATAAAGTCAATACTATTATTATCACCATTTTATAGTTGAGAAATATTAGGCACAACAAGGATAAGAAACGTGACCAACAGCCCATAACTGATTGAGCCAGGCTTTGAACCAGGCAGTCCATCTCTGTGTAGGTGTGTTTAACCACTATGCTCAGGTGTCTGAACTAGAAGCTCTTGCTGTAATCCAAGCAGGAGCAAGTGAGTATCTGAAGAGACAAAGGCACTAGTGGTGAGAAATAGGCAAATCCAATAAATCCTCAAAAGAATAAAGAGAATTAGGTAAGAGATTAGATGTGGAATCTGCAGAGAAGGGGCATGCCAAAGAACCTCCAGTGGTGCGTAACTTTGAAGGTTGAAAAAGTTATGGTATGCCACTGGCCAGTAGGATATTTGAGATAGGGAATGGTTTGGGGAAAGCAGTCATGATGTCAACTTTGACCTGTTTATTCTGAGATGATGATGTAAACTCCAAATTGGTTGATATGATACACAGATGTGATGAAATGGCATAACAGACAGTATGGCATGGTGGAAAACATAGGATCCTGAATGAGAAGACCCAAATTCAAGCTCTGGTGCTGACACTCAGTGACACTATGCAAGTTTCTTCACCTCTCTGGGCCTTAGTTTTCTTACCTGTGAGAGACTTTCTATTATAGTCACCACTTCTCAGCAAAGTTGAATCTCTGAGAGTTGAGTGACATGCTAAGGTCCAGCGGCTAATTAAAGGCAAGAGTAGATGCCTAAATGAAGTTATTTTTCTTTTACAGCATATTAATCTGAACAATATCTATTGGGGGGGAAAGGAAATAATCAGATTATGAAGTCATAGCTAGGGTTACCATACTTTATGGTCCAACTGGGACACTTCTGAGAATGAAAATGGGCACTGCTAATAAATACAAGAACAACAAACAGGCATTCTGCTGTAACTGTGGGACCATCATGGAAAAGAGTACCAGTGGTCCCCCTAGTCATAGCATCAGAAGAGGTACTTCCGAAATACTCAATTTTGAATGAAAGTAATCCTGGGTAGAAAAGAGTGTATTCATGGTGTGATTTCCAGCTTGCTTCCTTCCTTATGGATTATGTCTGAAGCCAGTTCCTCACCCCACCTGCTCTCCCTCTCATGTGTCTGCCCACACATTACACTCAAGCCACTGTAATCATTCAATGTAGAAGAATAGAAGATTGACTTCAATATGTCTGTTGTCATCTCCATTGTCTTATGTTTGCTTATTTCTGATTCCTGCCTTGTAGTTGCTCCGCTCTTCTGCTGATTGGTCTGCGGGTATAAAGTACCATGAAGAGTCCATCCACACTGCTTATGTAAATGTGATAGAGAACAGCAAGCACTATATCTACATAGAAGTAAGTCCTGTTCGTGTAAACTAGAGTATGAGAATCCGTCTTCCCATAAATATCATACAGAGACTGCTGGGTCCCTGAACCCAGGGTCTGCCATATTGATATGTGTATGTTGACATATGAATAGTACTGAAGAAGGCCTCATGTCACCTGAATTTCTACCTCCCCCATATGCCTGAAATTCCCTCTAGCATTTTCATTAGCTCAAAACTGCATTCGGTAACCCCCACATCCTTGTTATGAAAAGGCATCAACTTGCTGTAATATTGTTAGCCAGAAATACACCAACATGGATGCACATGTCTTGATTTGGTTTGGGTTGGAGGGTTTAAGTGTGAGGCATGTACTGCTTCAGGGGAGCCCACACCGGGGCAAATTGCTAAAAATAGAGGTGACTGGATGCCACTGGTCAGGTGTGTGGGAGCAGGGAGCATACAGGGAAAGGAACATGGAAAAGGGAGATGTGAGGATATTGAAGGCAGGCACTGCCTTCAATCCTGTGTGAACTTCTATTCATTATAAAACATTTTCAGACCCTGGAGTTTGTGTTCAAAGTATAGAAGAAAATCTGGGAAAACCGAGTCTAGTTTGTAACTTTAATTACATCTCCCAGTAGATATAAAAATATTTCAGAGAATTTAGAAAACTCTGAGAAAATAAAAGTCTTAATAATGGAAAAAACACGTTAGAGCACATCTCCCCTCATTCTTTTCTTGCCCACTGAATCAAAAAAAAAATATATGGGGGGAGATGGGTTAGCTGGGAAAAAAACAAACATTCTAGCCCTGTTTTCCTTCCCTTTGTGTTCTGGCAATCTGCCCTCCATGCAGTGACAATTCGTTAAAGCCAAGTAAGAAAGAATTAGAGCTTTGTTTATTTTGCAGGGCTGGCAACAGAGAAGGCTGATTAGAAATATTAGCAGGCTAAATACTATGCAAGGAACCCTGGTGGCATTAACAGTTAAGTGTTTGGCTGCTACCCTAAAAATTAGCAGTTTGAACCCATCCAACAGCTCCAAAGGAGAAAGACCTGGCAGTCTGCTCCCATAAAAATCACAGCCTAGAAAACCTTATGGGGCAGTTCTTCTCTGTCACAAGGGTGGCTATGAGTCATTATCAACTCAAAGGCACCTAACAACAACAAATGCAATATTGTGTCCTGGATTGGATCATGCAACAGAAAAAAGACTTTAGTGGAAAAATTCCTAGGCCCCAAATAAAGTCTGGAGTTTAGTAACACTAAAATGACTAGTTTTAACAATCGTACCATAGTAATGTAACAGCTGGCTCGTCTATGACCCAGAATCATTTTGCTTCATCTCTTTTTAGTAGTATTCATGTCAACTTTTCAATGATGCCACAGTGTTAAATGAGGTCATCAATGCCACGTAGATAGACATGGTTGTAGACCTGGTTGACACTGCTTGGGCCCAGGCAAGCGGTCAGCAGTCACTGTGCTCCTCCCAAAAAAGGCAGAAGTAAAGGACATGACATGTGGCTAGTGTGTGTTTACAGCTGCTAAGATTCTTTGTAAGCTTCTATGTAAGCTTCTTGGTAATTTGGATTCAGAAAAACAAATATGGTTTGGTTGCCACTGCTGAGTTTTTGATTGTTTATTGCCCTAAGGGAAACTCAGATGCGTTTCTGCACAATGTCTTCCTGTGAGTTTGTCTTCTGGAGACATTTTACAGATTTATGCACTTCAGTGTAAAAAATTTCATAGTCGTGAAAATGATACGTTGCAAAGGGATGATAATCATATTTTGAGATACTGTTTATGTATCTCTTTACCTTGAGTTGATTAGCAAAGGTTATTTTGTGATGATTATCTTTATAAATTACTGGTCTATTACAACATTCTGTGTAAATAGAACACATAATATTTGTAATTTTTGTAACTAATTTTTAACATTCCTTTATGGAGCAACTAAATCTTTTATACAGCTTTGATGATAATATCAAATCCTGATTTTCTAGTAACGGTTTTAAAGAATGTTTTATAGCTACATGAATAGCAGAAGTAATTAGAGGAAAAAAAGGAACAAAAATAGTTCATTTTTCATTTTATTGGTTTATTTATATATACCCAACATACTTACAAAAATGATTTGAGGCTACTTAAAATAGAAGTTCCACCCCCCGTCTGTCAGTTTGTTGTACTATGGTGGCTTGTGTGTTTCTATGATACTGGAAGTTATACCACCAGTATTTAAATGCCAGCAGGGTCACTCAGGTTGGGCAGGTTTCAGTAGAGCTTCCAGACTAAGACAGACTAGGAAGAAAGGCCTGGCAATCTGTTTCAAAAAAATCAGCCAATAAAACCCTATGGATCGCAACAGAACAGTGTCCAACTCACTAGCTCTGGACACATCAACAGTAGGGATCATTTGCTAGAAGAGGACATCATATTTGATGAAGTAGAGGGTCAGTGAGGGCATGGTAGATGCTCGATGTGATGGATTGCAACAGTAGCCTCAAGGAAGGACTCAAACATGCTGGTGATTGTGGGATGATGCAGGACTGGGCAACATTTTGTTCTGTTGTACATAAGGTTGCCAGGAGTCAGAGTCAACTCAATGGCAGTTGACAACAACAACAAAATAGAAGTTCAGAGATAATAAGAGATCCAAACAAATGAGACAAGGCAAAAGCAGATACTAGGAAATAATGGGGAAATGGTGCGGAAAATTAAACCAGGCTTCTGGCATCTACCCTGTTAAAAAAGTAAACTTAGTGGGAGATAGGATGTTTGCCAATATAGAATTTTTATCATACACATTTACAGAATATGTAGATCTGGGGAAAAAGTCTAATTTTACTGTTGGTTAAATTTGAAATATTCCTAGTGTTCTAAGAAGGTAATTTAGAAAATCACCTAGCAGCAATTTGCATGGTGAAATCAGTCTAGCCTTCCACTTGACTAAGATGATATAAGTGATACTATCTAGAAATGCATGAAACCCAGAGTGAGGGAGGCCTTCGCTTATTCCTAGCGTTATTTCAGTGAGCAGAACATGTCTGCTGGGTGAATCATTTTCTTTTTAAATATCAATGTAGTTTTTCTTCTATAACACATTGTCCTTATATGCATACTACTATGAAAAGAAAGGCTTCCGTGATTGTCCTCTTTATTTCCCATAGAATCAGTTTTTCATAAGCTGCGCTGATGACAAAGTGGTTTTCAACAGGATTGGCGATGCCATTGCCCAGAGGATACTCAAAGCCCACAGGTAATAGTTTTGGCTTTTTGGCAGGAGCTGTTACTGCACATGTTCTTGCATTTACTGCTAGAATGACTTTTGAAAGCCCGTTTTAAAGTACTGACATTTCTAGCAGGCATGAATTAATTTGCTTTAACTAGCAGTAGGTTATTGATTCCTTAAAGCTGGGTTAGTTGCTGAGAATATTTGAGTCAATTTTTGAGGGAAGCTGAATTCTTCCAGGGCACAGTCATTTTTTCCTGGCACGTGTTAGGTTTAGGATTTGATTTATTTACTGGTAGACAGTGAGCTGTGTTCACTTAACAAACAAAGTAAACTATAATATGCTTTCATGGGTTGTATTTAAACGCTTGTTATCTTCTGTTTTAGTTCTTTGGCCCATGGGACTATTTGCTTTTTATAACAGCATTACTGAGATATAATTCATATCCCATTCAATTCACCCACTTAAAGTGGAAAATTCAATGATTTTTGTTATATCCATGAACTTGTATAACTATCACCTAATCAATTTTATAACATTTTAATTACCCCCAAAAGAAATCCTGTACCCATTAGTGGTCACTCCTTATTTCCTCCTAACCCATCCAGCCCTAGTCAACTAATAATTTACTTTCTGTCTCAGTAAATTTGTCTGTTTGGGACATTTTAGACGTAAATGGAATCATACAATATGTGGTCTTTTGCAACTGATTTATTTAGCAGAATGTTTACAAGGTCCATCTATGTTATAACATGCATCGGTACTTCATTACTTTTCTTTTAGTCTTTTTTTTTTTAATTGTACTTTAGATGGAGGTTTACAGAACAAACTAGCTTCTCATTTAACAGTTAGTACACATATTGTTTTATGACATTGGTTAACAACCCCACAACATGTCAACACTCTCCTTTCTTCACCTTGGGTTCCCTATTACCAACTTTCCTGTCCCCTCCTGCCTTCTAGTCCTTGCCCCTGGCCTGATGTGCCCATTTAGTCTCATTTTGTTTTATGGGCCTGTCTCATCTTTGGCTGAAGGTTGAACCTCAGGAGCGACTTCATTACTGAGCTAAAAGGGTGTCCAGGGGCCATACTCTCGGGATTTCTCCAGTCTCTGTCAGGCCAGTAAGTCTGGTCTTTTTTTGTGAGTTATAATTTTGTTCTACATTTTTCGCCAGCTCTGTTCGGGACCCTCTGTTGTGATCCCTGTCAGAGCAGTCAGTGGTGGTAGCCGGGCACCATCTAGTTGTACTGGACTCAGTCTGGTGGAGGCCGTGGTAGCTGTGGTCCATTAGTCCTTTGGACTAATCTTTCCTTTGTGTCTTTAATTTTCTTCATTCTCCTTTGCTCCCGAAGGGTTGAGACCAGTGGAGTATCTTAGATGGCTGCTCATAGGCTTTTAAGACCCCAGACACTACTACCAAAGTAGAATGTAGAACATTTTCTTTATAAATGTGGAGACCATGGTCCCCACAGCCCTCAGCCCAGTAATTTGGTCCCTCAGGGAGTTTGGATGTGACTATGGAGCTTCCATGACCTTGCCTTATACAAGTTGTGCTGGCAGTACTTCATTACTTTTTATTGCTAAATAAGTTCCATTGTATGGGTATACCACATTTTGTTTATATATTCATCAGTTGTTGGACATGGTGGTGGTTTCCACTTTTTGGCTGTTATCAATAATCTGCTGTCAACATTCGTGAGCAAGTTTTTATGTGGATACATGACTTCATTTCTCTAGGGGTAGAATTGTTGGCTCATATGATAACTCTATGTTTAACACTTTGAGGAACTGCCAGACTGTTTTCCAAAGTGGCTACACCATTTTACATTCCCACAAGCAGTGTATGAGGTTTCCAGTTTCTCCATGTCCTCACCAACGTGTGTCGTTATCTGTCTTGATTCCAGACATCTAGTGAATGTGAAGTGGCATCTCATTGTGGTTTTGATTTGTATTTCCCTAATGACTAATGATATTGAGCATCTTCTCATGTGGCCATTTGTGTATCATCTTTGGAGAAATGCCTGTTTAGGTCCTTTGCCCATTTTTGAATTGGGTTATTTGTCTTTTTTATTTTTGAGTTGTAAGAGTTCTTTATATATTGTGAATACAGGTCCCATATCGGACATGATTTGCAAATATTTTCTCCTATTCAGTGGGTTGTCTTTTTACCTTCTTGCTAGTGTCATTTGAAGCACAAGAGTTTTTAATTTTAATAAAATCTAATTTATCTATTTTTGTCTTTTGCTTCTTGTGCTTTTGTTGTCATACCTAAGAAACTATTGCCAAATCCAAGGTCTTGAAGATTTACGCTTCTGTTTTCTTTAAGAGTCTTACAGTCTGAGCTCTTACATTTCAGTCTTTGATCCATCTTGAGTTACTTTTTATATATGGTGTGAAGTAAGGGCCCAAGTTTATTCTTTTCTATGTGGATGTCAAGTTGTCCCAGCACCATTTGTTGAGAAGACTATTGTTTCCCCCACTGAATTGTCTTGGCATCTGGGCTAATTTCTTTTTTTTTTTTTTTCTATTGTGCTTTAGGTAAAGGTTTACAAAGCAAATTAGTTTCCCATTCAATAGCTTATGTACAGATTGTTCCACGACATTGGTTGCAGTCCCAGCCATGTGTCAGCAGTCTCCCCATTACCACCGTGAGTTCCCCATTTCCATTCATCCAGTTTTCCTGCCTTCTCATCATTGCTTTTTGGCATATGTTGTCCTTTTGGTCTCATGCAGATGATCGATCTAAGGAGCATTTTCCCTGCATGTGTTATTGTTTATTTATGGGCTTGTTTATTATTTGTCCGAAAGATGATCTCCAGGAATGGCTTCCGTTCCAAGTTAGAAGGATGTCTAAGGGCTATAGTCTTGGGGGTTCCTCAAGTCTCTCTCAGACCAGTAAATCTGGTCTTTTTTATGAATTTAGATTTTGTTCCACATAACCAGGACTTTCTGTTGTGATCCTGGTCAGCGTGGTCGGTAGTGGTAGCTGGGCACCATCTAGTTCTTGTGATCCCAGGCTGGTGAAGGCTGTGATTCCTGTGGTCCATTAGTCATTTGGACTAATTGTTTCCATGGGCCTATTTCTTTTTATGGCTGATTTCAGCTCTGTGTAAAAGCAGCAAAATACAAACAAAATCATTAATTTTTTTTATTGTTTCAATTCATTGGTTACATGCAGTAGAGAATGTTAATCACATAATACATGTGGGGATTAAAACATTTTTTGGCTTTCAGTGTCATGTGGTGCTTTGATATCTTTCTTTCACATAATAAGTGGACCTTTTCAGATTAAGAACATTTTATAACAGTAACTGTAGGCATTTTATGAGATTCATAGTTTATATCTTATTGAATCTTCACAACTACTTCTGAAAAAAGGTCATGTAGTTGTTATTGTTATTATTGTTGCTGTTGCTATCCCCATTTTTAGAGTTAAAAACTGAGATTCGAGAGGTGATATAGGACTTGTCCAGGCCACTAACAACAATAAGCAAAAATAGCTTTGAGCCCATGTCTTAGGACTTTCAATCCAATGTCTTCCCCCTGCACCATGTAACTCCAATCCATTGATGGGTAGAATTGAAGACCCCTTCATTGTTGCCCCAAACTGAGTGAAGTGGGTTGGACCTTGGTACTCTCTTCTATGCATTGACCAGTCATTGGATGCTAGCTGACTCCAGGAAGCAGGTGTGACCTTGGGCAAAACAGGTCCCGCTGGCCCACAAAGGGCAATTCCTGGAAAAGGACTCTGCTGTGAGTGAGAAGTCACTGGCCAACACTCTCAGCAGCAGAGGGAATAACTGTCTTTATCCCATGAAGAGGGGAACTGGGCAGCTCACAGCAACATCCACCACATCCTGCAGGGTGTACAGTAGATCGCATCCTTGACTACACATCAAAATCAACGTTGGAACTTTAAAAAATATAGATAGCTGAAATCTACACCAGACTTACAGGATCACAATCTTCTGGAATGGGGCCCAGGCACCTGAGTTTTATAATGCTCCACAGGTGACTCCACGGCACAACCAAGATTGCTTAGTACTCACCTAGAACAGCATATATGGCCATAAATATTAATGATGGTCTGTGCTTTTACAGATGACCTTTATCTTTTGTCTTCTCATGTAGTTTTTAAGAAAGTCACCATAGATCTGTTTTGAGATAACTTAAACACAGCCTTGTTTACAGTTAAACACACACACACACACACACACACACACAGAGAGATTTCTTACATCCTTGCCAGTGCCCCAATTTTATGGGGTAATTTATGTCTAATTTACAAAAATATCTTTGTCTTTCAGCTTTTGCATTTCATTGATGAAGGTGTGTCTGCTTTATCTATAAAGCACATTTAACAACAAAAAATAATACTTTTTTCATGAAATTGAAATAAGTTGTAGAAATGCATTAGGTTGACAAAAGAGCTCATTGGGCTGAGCAGTGAATCATGAATTTTAAAACTGTGATTAGCTAATAAACAAAGTGGGATGAAACTCAGCTTCCCTCATCCCAGTTATTAGCTTCCTATAATACATGGTTTAATAAGTACCTGTAAGATTTGTTTTTATGTGTTTAGAATCCTGAAAGTGTATTTTTCTTAACATATTAATTTGTCTTTAAAAATCTTGACTTCTTCCAAAATCATAAAATCATAGCATTTTAGGGCCAGAAAGAACTTTAAGATGTTTTCTGATTGAATGTGTTCCAGTGATCTATGAGCCGTTCCTCAAAGGAAAAGGGATTTGTGGCAAGGTAGCACGGCGAGGTAGCACGGCAGGGTGGCGCAGTAAGCTAGCATCTGTTGCAGATTGTATCTCATGTTTGGAGGTTCACAGAGCACGTTAAAGACTCTGGCCGTTTCCAACTTACTTTGTAGAGAATGAGAAATGAGCACATCGAATGTCAAATTAACTGTGTGTCATTTAGCTCAGATCCCTCAATAGTCTTACTCTTTTCAACAGTCAACATTTCAAAATGGTGCGTACATACATGTTCAAACTTTTACTGGCTACATACACA